GTGTGTGTGTGTGTGTGTGTGGTTTTTAATGAGCCACTTAGCAGGAACCTCTTTTCCTCCACTTCAAAGCCAGAGGCCATGTGAACTTGGAGGCCAAGTGTTTAACCTGACTCAAGTGATGTGCTGTATTCACCTCGCCCATTATTTAATGTAGGGCTGAGCTCTGTGTGCCGAGCTGTGTGTGTGTGTGGTAATGGGAACGTGCACAAGTGAAATCGAAGGTGTGGTGTCAGATCTTTGACTCATCCTTAGGGAAGGAGGGTGGAATTCATCAGCCTTACAACAGCCTTGCCCATGAAGCTGTTATTCCCACTTATATATGAGGACACTCGGGCAAGCTCTCTCAGGCTCTGACTTAGCTCGGGGTGATTGTAGGGATACGCAGAGCACTGTGGAGGCTGGGAAACCAGCCGCTGATTCATCCCCCTGGATACCAGAGCTCATAGAATACATACAAACAAGCCTCGTGAAAAACCGGAATGTGCCTCCTCATCACAGCAGCTCTGCCCCGGTGACCAGGCCACCCAGGCAGAGTCTGAAACCCTCAGAGCAGAGAGAGCCTGACAGGGTAGCCAGCCCTCCAGTTGGGGCTCTTGTCCTGGATCCATTGGTCGTAGCCAGGTGGCACCTGGATCCTGTTCCAGGTGTGAACCATAGCAACGCAAGATTGCGAGAACTGCCTGGGAACATTTCCCCCAGGGGGACGTTGGCTCTGGCCTATCTAGTACTTTCAGGGAGATTAAGGCAGCCTGGCATCATCAGAAGAATACAGATTTTAGAATCAGACAGACCTACCTGGGTGTGGACCCTGGTTCTGCCACTTGAATCCATTTCGTCGACAGGAAGTCGTGGGTACCGCCCATCACGTGGAGGTGTTGTGCAGGTCAAGTAACAATGTGCCTAGGCTGGGGTCTGGTGCAGAGGATCTGTACTTCATGAATGATAGAATTTGGTGTTTTATTTTTTAAAAACTGGAAAGATAGGGACGTGGGGAAAAAAGTTTTTTGATTTTTATCACCCTGTCACTCAAGCTCTTACCACTCACAGTGTGTCACTGTCGACTCTTGTAGACCCATCTGTTAATTTAAGGCTTTATATGCCATGGAGCAGTTTCCCTCCATGGTACTTTTAAGTGAACAATCTGTTTTTACATGGCTGGAGTTAATATAATTTTGTATTCTGATTTCGAAATTCTGTATGTAATTTTGGTGGATATGCTGTAGTTCACATAAAACTTATTTTTGTTTTTTTTTAAAGATTTTATTTATTTATTCTTCAAAGACAGAGAGAGAGAGAGAGAGAGAAAGAGAAGCAGAGGGAGAAGCAGGCTCCCAAGGAGCAGGGAGCCCGATGCGGGACTCGATCCCAGGACCCTGGGATCATGACCTGAGCCGAAGGCAGACGCCACCCAGGCGCCCCATAAAACTTATTTTTGAACATCTAACAAAAGAGCAGAGATTGAACTAGTGGTAATGTATTCAGGTAGTAAAATAGAAGTATATTTGTTAACATAGAAGTGTGCTCATGATTCTATGTAAAATGAGACGGTTTTACCTAAAAACCAAGTGCCTCCCAGATCTATCTGGATGTTCACTGCCTCAGCCTCAGCAAGCTTTCAAATTTTAATGGGCCTCAGAATCACCAAGGGAGCCTGTTAAATGCAGGTTTTGAGCTTTACCCCTACAGTTTGATTCAGCAGATGGGGCTCAGGGGTTGGCATTTTTACGAGGATCCAGGTGATTCTGATGTGGGCATGACACTTCTCCCATTTCTACCTGTTGAAGCTATACTTAGTTTTCCGCACTTCGCCATCCTTTCAGGCTTTCTCCTGAATTCCTAAAGTATTTCGTGGCACTTTTTGCCTGCTTTCTTGTCTTTGGATCTTTGTGAATCCTTCTAAATTTGTAAAGTTTTCCTGATCTTCTGAACAAACCCAGTCGGGCACCTGTGTCATATCCCTGGGACTGTGTCAAGCTCCAAGTTCCTGAATATAATATAGATATCAAAATATTTGGAATCCAGGTTTCTTTGATTTGTAGTGAAGAGAAAGAGGCCAAGCGTTCCAGAGCTCTTCAGCATACCTGCTATTAGAAAGGGGCAATAAAGGTAGCCTTTCCAACCTTGATAGGGAAAAAAAAAAAATCTTGTTTAAATTACCCTGACCTTGGCAGTCATACTGTGAAAAGTAGTTTGTCCTTTGTGCATGTACTTTGGTCTAAGCCAGAGATGGCCAGTGTCTGGAAAGGGGGGTTAAAACCCTTCAAGAAGCTTGTCATTCCAAAAGCATTGCGTAAATATCTTCTAGGATTATTGGTTGGTTTTCATTCTCAAACTTTGTGCCATTGAGGTTATTCGAGGTAAATTTCTCATCTTGCAGTTCATTTAGGGGCCATTCATGCTAAAATTGAGATTGAGCTACCCATAAAGTACTTCTTCACTCAGGTTTTATTGATCTCCCTCCTTCCTTAAGCCAATTAAGATTGGATCTTTTGATCTCCATTGTCAAGTCAGGTTTTGTTGTCTTATGTCCTATCCTTATGTAACAGGCCGGCTGTTGCAAATTGGTTGTTACACTGTTAAAACAATTGCTAAATATTATGTTCCGATGATTTTGAATCCCACCCCCCCTTGCCTGTGAGGGGACTAAATCATAATCTGTACAAATCTGTGATTATTCTAGCTTTAAAAGCATTAATAGCTACAAAAAAAGCATTCTGCAGAAGGAAACCTAAAGAGCCAGGTTTATTAGCTCGCTCAGAAAAAGTTCTTCCTTGGGGCGCCTAGGTGGCTCGGTTGGTTAAGCGTCTCTTGATCTCTGCTCAGGTCATGGTCTCAGGGTCGTGAGTTCAAGCCCCTTGTTTTTTGTTGTTGTTGTTGTTGTTTTAAGTAGGCTCCACACCCAGCCTTAAAAAAAAGAAAAAAAAAACTTCCTTGCTCACATGAAAATGTTAACTTTGTAGAATTGAAGTTCCAGATGACCTGAGAAATCATACAGGGGAATAGAAGGTTCTGGTTAATGAAATGGTTCTGATGGGAAATCACTGGATGGATTATACTTGTCCACATGGCAAACTTAGAATCATTCTTCAAAACCCTGTTCAGAATTCATCTATAAACCCCTAGATCGTAAAGCTTTTCGTGATCCCCCTTCTTGGAAAGAAGTAACCATTTCTTTTATTCTACAAGCACAACAGGACCTTATATACACTTCTATGGCCGTATATGTCACTGTCTAGTGTAATTATGTTTGCACATTGCTATTCTCCACTAGATCAGAAACTCACTGGGTGGGGCGCCTGGGTGGCTCAGTTGTGTTAAGCGTCTGCCTTCGGCTCAGGTCATAGCCCCAGGGTCCTGGGATCAAGCCCCACATCGGGCTCCCTGCTCGGCGGGAAGCCTGCTTCTCCCTCACCCGCTGCCCCCTGCTTGTGTTTCCTCTCGCTACGTCTCTCACTGTCAAATAAATAAAATCTTTACACCCAGTGAGTTGTGTTTTTTTTTTTAAGAGAGTGTAACTTACCTGTGCAGTCTGATCACATGTCTAAATGGCTGGATATAGTCGTACTAATTGAATGAATATATGAATGAGTGAGGATTCTGTTCTAGTCGGTGGCATCAGTCAGATAAACGGCATTTTGTGGGTATTTTCTGAGACATCCTGCAGTTAACAAAATTTAAAGCATCACCCTGTCATGAAAAATGTACCTAAAATATTGTTACAATAAATTAAGAATGAATGGTGAAAAAGACAGGCTGAGTATCTGTTTCTTCCAGGATTCCTCATACCAACTGAGTGCTCAGCCTGTGGGACCCCTGATGTAAGGGACTGGATCTGAAATTCCACAGAAACCTGTTCCACATTAGCCCATCAGCTGCTGTTAAATTCCTTCCCTGGGCTCTTGAATTCCACAGAAGGCTCAGATATCACAGATATTTGAGCATTATACGTATGTGATAGATTGTGAACATATTCTTCAATTTCTAATTTTAAAGTCTTTGTATTAAGAGAGGCTGATGACTGAAAGAGATGATTTTAGAACTGAAAGCGACCTCTTCATTTTACTGATTAGGAAACCAAGCCTCCTGAGAGATGGGCAGTTTGCTTTAGTGGAAGGAGCCCTAGAATCGAAGTCAAATAGATCACGTCTTGGCTCTGGGGCTCAAATCACAGCCTCTTACTGGCTGTGTGATCATAAGCAACTTACTTAAGTGTTTGGAAGATCAGTTTTCTCATTTGTAAAGTTTTGTTAAAAATCCATCTCGGTGGGTCATGACAAGGGATTACCGAGATAAGCTGTACCGGAGTACCAACCGTAATGTCTACACAGAGCAAATCCTCAGCGATCTTTAGTCTCTGCCCTTCCTCGCCTGAATCATGCTCCTCACGGCAGGAGTAGGACTTAGAAGTACTCCTTGAGGTGTCGTTAGGATGGGTTGCGGTTGCCGGTTTACTTGAGAGGACTCGCGCACATCAAGGACACTCACTGCAAAGGAGCCGTTTCGTGGGTGTTTGATACAAGAGTCAGGATTTGGTACTTGAAAAACAATCTCCCTTCTGTGTTCCATGTTTTATTCCTTGTTGCTTTTTTCCCTTTCTTTGAACTGAGAATTACGGCACCCTCCCAGTCAACCATCAACTATAATTTAAGTTTGTATAATTGTGTGAATTAGCAAGGTCATTTCTATAAAGCCTTAGGAACTCAGAGTAAAGTATATAAACGTTTTGGGAAAATCAGACCCATGTAGCCTAATCAGCCTTCAATTTTTAAAAATCACATTCTGAAATAATAAGTGAAATACCTGTGCTAAATTGAAGGGGTTGGGGCTGGAAGTGAACTAAGCATTTTGAGCATGAGGTGTTAGTCTTACTTATGCGCTTCGGTCGTCCTGCGACGCGAGTCAGGTGGGAGAAGCAGCAGTTTGCTTTCTCTGCTCATTCCCTGGAGTTCATCTGTCATTTGCAAACGCAACTTATTTTTCTCTCTCTCTTCCCTGTAAAGGCAGAAACCTATGGGTTCTTGTCGTGGGGCGCTTCCCAAAGGAGCACAGAATTGGGATTCCAGAGTTCAAATACGTGGCCAACATGCACGGAGACGAGGTATGTATGCGGCTTGAGTATCGGAAAGGTCACCAGACACGCTTCCCCTCGGGTCTCTCGAGCTCCGTGTAAATGCTAAGGAAGCAGCATAAATCGTACCAAAAAATCTGGAAAGGTCTTGCAGCGAGGCCTTCTGGGAGAATTGAAGGAACCAGGGTCCAACAACCACCAGAGCCAGTGCCCCGGGAGGCTCCCTGGAGCTCGTTTTGTGCCGGGACTGGAAGAACAGCAGCGCCCAAGCCCTCACGGCCGGCCGAGGCCCTGAAGCCCGCCCTGGGCTGGTGTTTCCCACCTCCTGGGGGACATCCAGGTGGCCCAGCTACGGAGCTGTAGTATATTTGAATTCAAACAATCAGAAGATCCCGGAGAGCTATCCAAACTCCTGATATCTGACTTTTTGAAAGCTTTTGTCACCTTGTCTTAATCTTCTACTCAGCGTTTTCAATATTGAAGTTGATGGGCAATCAAGCTTACAGTTCTCTCACTCAACAAATGCTCTTAAGTTTTGTACTGTCTTGCCTCTTTTCCAACGCATCAGAGATAAACTCTCCTTTTGTTTTGTTTGATGTCATGATATTTATTTTGTTTTGTCCGTTACCCTCTTACCCCCCTCCCCCACTTGGCAGTCATTCCCCTCAGGCCTTTGAGGGCACGCCTGTCCATCTCTTACCGCACTTCCTCAGAGGATTTGGGGAATGTGACAGTTGCGGTATTTTCTGTTCGCAGGACCCCATACGCCTGGGCAGTGAAGTGGAAGGGAAAGACCATTCCCAGTCGTCACAGTCAGGAAAATTTACATAGCAATGTGTGTAGCGCCCTCTAAAACATGCTTACCTTTAAGGAGCGTCGAAGTAAAGGCATAGTCCAGTGGGGTGCAACCCACTGCCTCGTGAAGGCACATGGAGTTGGCAGCAGTGTGGGTGGCGGGCTCTCTTCCGACGCTGGGCTTCCTGTCCTGGCTTAGCCCTCCCCAAGCCCAGGCTCCGTAGGAGCAGGGTCCACCTCTCAGGACGCGCGCAGCCCGACCTGTCCTGCTGGGAGGACAGGACTTCTTGCAGTGGGAGCAAGGTGCAGACCCTGGCCTCTAAGAAAGGCGTAGGCCTTTGGACCTGATTTGTGAGCGGATGGAAGGTCAGTCCCCCCGTGACTTTGCTGAGTGTGATCGCGCTGTACCTGTCAGATTTGATGTCGCTGGGAGTCTGGCCAGCGTTGGTGTGATAACCACACAACTGTTCCCCGCAGATGGCAGCCCAGACCTCCCCGTTGCTGTGTCGTCTATGGATCCAGGTCCATGGAGTCCATCTTTAGTAGGAGACATACAGCGCTCGTTAACTACAGTAGTTTACTTACTGAATTCCTGGCACTTCGGGGGTTCCAGCATGGTGCTCAGAAATAACCCTCCGAACTGAAACTTTGAAAGAGAAGCCAGAGTCCTTTCCCTCCCTCACCTCTGAGTTGGCTTCTTTCTAAGATGCGCTTTCCCAAACTTCTGGCCTTTTGCTGTCCGGGTAGGTAATGTATCCCATCAAATCGGGGCTCTCTAGTTCACGCTGATTCTTTGAGGAATGCTAAGGACTGAGATCAAGAAAGGGTGAAGTCCCAGTGCACCTTGGGGCGGGGACCTGAGGCCCTGTGATCCCCCGTGTGTCCCCCATGTGTCCCCACCGGTGGTAGTGTCCGGGCTCTGTGGGCCACTGAGGAACTTATCCTGAAAGTGAGATCTTGTGCCTTCTGCCCTCCTGGTGCTGCGAGGAGCTGGGGACAGTGATGGCTTCACTCAGGAGCAGAGGAGTGTGTTTGAGTAGAGGGTCCAACCACCTGACCCAGCCTTCTTCCTCTCTCAGATCTTTTGGAATTGAAAGAGCATTTTCGAGAACCCACTATAAAATGCTACATAGCTAACATTTTAGGGCACTGGTTCTCACCTTCTTTAGGTAGATGCCTTGCTATTCCGCCACAGATTCTGGGTGCTGACCTCAGGATGTATGAATCTTCTAGGAGTCTGTGGGCCTCGCGTGGAGAACCCCACAGGGGACATCTATGCACGGAGTGGCCTGCTGGACAGAAGTGATCACACTGGGTTTTTTTTTGTTGTTTTTTTTTTTTTAAAGATTTTATTTATTTATTTGACAGAGAGAGACACAGCGAGAGAGGGAACACAAGCAGGGGGAGTGGGAGAAGGAGAAGCAGGCTTCCCGCCGAGCAGGGAGCCCGATGCGGGGCTCGATGCGGGGCTCGATCCCAGGACTCTGGGATCATGACCTGAGCCGAAGGCAGACGCTTAACCGACTGAGCCACCCAGGCGCCCCGATCACACTGTTTTTAAAATGTTTCCTCTCTTACCTGGACCCCACCCCACAGAGGTGTGTGTGTTTCCCACACTGAATACATGGCTAGATGGCAGTGAGCATCCCCAGCATTAGGAAGACCCAGTTCTGCTGATCATACCTGCTATTTTCCCCCATGAATTTTTACCTTACGTCCTTGTACCTTGTTTTAGAATCAGGTCTTTTTTAAATTAAAGATAATCTGTTGTTGTTACTATAAAATCAGTCATGTACATCTCAGAAAAAAACATAAACCAACAACAACAACATTGTATATTGACCTTCCAAAAATTAGTAGTTAATTCCTTACTATTTATCCACCTAGGTGTTTGTGTGTGCATGTGTGCACTTCTATTAAATGAGCTATGCTGATTTACTATTTGTAACATGTAAGTTAATACTAGCCACCCTTTCATGTCAATACGAGTTTATCCTGTCTTTATCTTCTACCCCACTTTCTGGTTTCTCAAACGTCCCCCAGATTATCTACATCAGGATCCAGTCCAGGACCATGCATCACATGTGGTCCATTCCCTTGAATCTTTTGTTCTAGCATTTAAAGGATCTTTTCATGACTCTAGACTTAATAAAGAGACCTGATCAATTAGTTATCTGTCCTGCAGAATGTCCTACATTCTGGATTTTTTGCTTCCTTGTGCCTCTAGTCCCTCTGGTTCCTTCCAACCGGAAGCTAAATGTAAAGGTTTGCTGTATTTAGGTGAAACATTTTTTGGCTAATAGACCCTTAGGAATCATGAAGATGGATTAATTTGGTCGATGCTGGAGGGTTTGCAAAAACTTTGGGTAGCAAAATCAACTTAAAATGGCCCCTTTGCAGGCAGGTATTTTATAAAAGAAGTGATATTAAACCTCCTCTTGTATAATATTTTTCTTGTCTCCCTTCACCCTGCTGTTGGCTCATGTCCTTCCAATGACACTGGCTCATGGTGTCTTGTTGATCAGACTGGCAAGTTACTTTCTCCACGGTGCTTTACAAGCACGTAATAACACGAGCCAACATTAATGAGCATGGGCTACACTAAGTGCTTGGTGGGGGTGTGTGCTTGGTTGTAGGCTGTCTGAATCCCAGCCCAAGCGCCGGGCCTTACCCAGCTATGGGTCTGCCTCCTTGACTCTCTCTGCTGCCCGCTAAGTGTTCTGTTTGTACTCTTTTCATTTTGACATAGAGATCTATGATCTGTTTGGATGGATACCTAACGGTGCTCATCGATGAGAAGATTTGGTCTTATTCATCATGTAAAAAAGTGGCAAGCTCTTAGAGTAACGCTGGATATAAATCCAAGTCCGTTTTTTCTACTGCCTGCCTCCCCCTCCGTGATTGCTGTGCAGTCACGCGGGGTAGCTAACAGCACCCTTTGAGAAGCCTTTGCCACCTGGTGTTCGTGCCCTTTCCAGAACGACGTGAGAGGAGTGTTTCTGAGCTTCTGCCTTTCTCATTTTCGTAAGACTAGCAGGTGCTTTCCTAGTTCATCTGGGCCCTCCGCGTGCACACCCACTGACATGTCGCCTTGTAGAAGCCTCGATCCTAGTTTTAACGTATGCAGGTGCCTAGTCGGTGGTACAGACATAGCTGAAGTCTGGTGATTGTTTCTCCTTGGAAGGGGTGATGCCGGCACACGCTGAGTGGGGGGCTCCCTACCGTTCCCTTCCTCCACCAGTACTGACAGTGTTTGAGAATAGGGTCTTTGTCCCCTGTGCCCTCCTTCTGCTCATGGCTGGCTTTGAGGTAAGCTATAACCAATAATCTACCAGGCCCCAAAACTGGGAACATCTTAATGCTTTCCGCCTCAATGTGGACAGGAGAGAAGCCTGGGAAGATCACTCCTTGTTCCTTCCTCAAGGCCTCCTCGCACTGTTTTGTGCCTGTCTCCTATCCCATGGTTTTTAAACTTTGTAGAAAAAGAAAATCTTCGCTAATCTCTAGATTGTTAGGACATCTCTAATTCCTCTCTAATGGAAATACTGAAGTGAGGCATGACTATGTGCTGAGAAAGTTGAGTGCCAGTAGTTTTAAGCTAATCCAGTAATAGGCAAAGGAGAGGTTACAGGCTGGGTTCCCAAGGTTCCCTTGACCTCAGGGCCATGGTCTTAAGTAGTATGGGGGTAGGTATTCAATATGTGCTTGTTATGCTTAACTGAATTGCCAATTTGGATTCTTTTTTTCCCCCCTAAGCTCCTATTACTTAAACATCAATAGGGCACCTGGGTAGCTCAGTCGTTAAGCGTCTGCCTTCGGCTCAGGTCATGATCCCAGGGTCCTGGGATCGAGTCCCACATCGGGCTCCCTGCTCGGCGGGAGGCCTGCTTCTCCCTCTCCCACTCCCCCTGCTTGTGTTCCTGCTCTCGCTGTCTCTCTCTCTGTCAAATAAATAAAATCTCTAAAAAAAAAAAAAATCAATAAATTACTTTTACTGTGATGGGTTAATCAGGTAGACTTTTTTTTTTTTAAGATTTTATTTATTTGACAGAGAGCACAAGCAGGGGGAGTGGCAGACAGAGGGAGAGGGAGAAGCAGACTCCCCGCTGAGCAGGGAGCCCCATGCGGGACTTGATCCCAGGACCCCGAGATCATGAGCTGAGCTGAAGGCAAATGCTTAACCAACTGAGCCACACAGGTGCCCCTCAGTAGACTTTTGAAATATCCACATCACACTTAGAATTTCACATTTGGGTGGCATTGATTTATAGTTTATTGTGTTCTAGATATATAAGTTGAAAGCAGAAACATTCCCTGGATAACAGTGGCCATATTTTTCAACCTAAAAATAAAGGATAATGGATAAATGATTTTCACACCCCTTCTAGACATATAAGAGACAACTTATGAGATGTAGTTTATATGCTGTTTGTATTTAAAGGGCATTTTAATGGTTTATATGAACACTAAGACATAATATCTGAATTTTGCCCATGCTGGAAAATCTGGGATATGTAGTCAACATGCAGTACAAGTTCCAAATGTACTAAAAAACAAATTAAAGCTTGTCCTTCCAGATGCCATTTGCCAAGTTCTGTTTTCCACCATTATCACAGATGATAGCAGAATGTCCTCAGTTATGCAGTGTGGCTTTAGATCATTAATTTTCTCCTTTTGGAGCTAGAATTAATCTTTATTCCAAGTGAAGTGTTGGATTCTTTTAAGCATGTATTAAATTTCTCCTGTAATTGTGCTTTTTCTCTTCATCTCCCCTTTTGGTAAGGCTGGGCTAGGGCGACCAGATATCCTGAGTCCTTGGCAGGATCAGAATTGTTAGCCCCCACCCCTGGAAAAGTGGTTCAATGTTGAAAATGGTTCAAAGGAAATAACTTGATCTTTTTTTTTTTTTTTAAGATTTTATTTATTTGACGGAGAGACAGCGAGAGCAGGAACACAAGCAGGGGGAGTGGGAGAGGGAGAAACAGGCTTCCCGCCAAGCAGGGAGTCTGATGTGGGGCTCCATCCCAGGACCCTGGGATCATGACCTGAGCCGAAGGCAGACACTTAATGACTGAGCCACCCAGGCGCCTCTAATTTGATCATTTGTACATCTGCCCTCATTAAGCAGCTTAAGTCCTCATGTTTTCAGAAATTTCCTCCTTAGAATAATAGTCTTGACCTTGTAATGGATTTGTCAACAGTAATCAGCAATCATTTATTGAGTATATGATATCCCCAGAGCTGGGCAAGATACCAGCGCTGCAGAGGAAGCCAGTTAGGATCTCTGCCCTCAAGGCTTAGAGGATGGAGGGGGGGGGCGGGGTGGTCAGTCAAGGTCAGTCAAGGTCAGCCGGGCCATTGTGAATGTATGTGGGCGGTATTAGGAGAAACACGAGCGTGCAGAGTTCTGGGACCACATGCGTAGGTCATGGCACCCAGACTTTGGGAGCCCAGGGAAAAGTCTGCTAGATAACGTAATATTTAGGCTTATATTTGAAGAAGGACTTAAGGAGGCAATCAGACAAATGAATTAAATCGGTAATACACCATTTCGGGAGCCCCAGAGGTCACAGGCTTTTCTTCCACCGAGCAGCTGCATTACAGTGTAGCATTTTAAAACAGATTCCGTCATTGGGATAGCTGGGTTTTGTTGTCTTTCTCTCTCTCTCACTCTCACTCTCACAGATTACCTAGTAATTGTAGACTCTTTAAAAATTTTTTTCCACTGTTACAAAAACATTCTTTGAAGAGGTAGAACACTCATTTTTATCTCTCTAGCAAATTCCACCTTGATTGTAAACTAAAACTGATGGAGAATTTATTTTCTGCTTTCTGGGTTATTGCCATTTTAACTGGCAGATGAATGATCAGTGAAAGGCTCCCGAAACTGGTGTGTTCATCCAGCCTTTCAGTCTCTTCATGAGGGATTCTCATATTAAGTCTACACCCTCCCAGAGAGGAAGTGAGCGTGCTAAATGGAAAGCTGATTAAGCTATTGGGATTGCTTTGACCGTGTTCTTTTTTAAAATTTGGACTCTCTGGGGTTTCATATTCAAAGACTTAGTTTTAAAGAAGGGAGGTTTATGCATAAAACATGAATGAGTGCTTGAAACATTTATATTAAGGTTGGGAAGAATTAATTTGAATAATATTTGGCATAAATCTGCTGTTAGGAAGACAGCAAAATATAGCCCAACAAAAAGAGAGGATTTTAACTCCCTGAAATTTTAGCTGTTTAACCTCAGCAGTTTTTAAATTATCTGACTCTTAATTCGTTCTTTACCATATTTCCAAGATTTTTTACTTATCCTCTGCAGTTAAGGACATGTGATTTGTTTTGGAATATGGAGACAAACAGAAAATACCTTCGTTCTACATTTGTTGACTTGAAAGAGTCATGATTTTTATTGGTTTCGTAAAAATAATAAAGGTTTTCTTTAAAAAGTGACACCGGAAAAATGAATAAAAATCATTCAGAATACTATCACTCAGAAATAACCATCATTAATATTTGCCACACATCATTCTAGACATCTATGGGTTTCTGTAGTAAGAGAATGAGAAGGATTAAAAGGATACAAAATAAAATGGGTGCCATATTCTGTTACCCTTTAAATAAGTACGAGATTTCATTTTACTTGGACAGGATAAACCGAAGTGAAACTAAAATAATCGGTGAACTTGATAAATATTTTCTCAAAATAAGAAATTACCAGATGATTCTTCCAAAGTCAAGAAAAAAATGAGGGAAAACTTGGAAATTGTAATCATTGAAAATATATAGTTTTCAGCTGTTGATAGAATCTTCTAACCCCTTGCTATGAACACTTGTCTCCCCCAGCCCCCACCCTCTGTTAATGATAAACATTAACTTTTCCATTCTGTTCTGTACCTGTTCTCCCACAGTTCCTCAGTCTCATTCTACAGCCTAATCACAGCTTCTTGACTCCTCTTTGTTTTCATTTGCTTTGAGTTGGTTGAATGTCTTTGCCAACTCACGTCTTGAGTTGTGGCGTGCTTGAGATTGTTTAGTTGAGATAGTTGAGGGAAAGGCACATCTTGAGCCCCATAGGGATTCTGGTGCGGCTCCTCTGTCCTTGGCTGGGGACTCACATGGGCCTCGGGTTCTTCCTGATTCGTCCCTCTAACTGAACCAACTGCCCGACAGTCCCAACTAACATTTAGAAATTTTAGGAGCTGCAGGTGACTCTTGGTCACTGCCTCCTCCCCAACCCCTTGGCACAACGCTCCTTAAATCACTGCACTTTCCACGTGTAAATTAGCTTTTCACAAATGAGAGTCACTGCAGCTCCTCCACTGGCCAGCAAGTAGCTCATGAGGCTGCTTCCAGAGTGCTTGAGCTCCCAAAACAGACGCTTGGAAACCTTGTGTGTGGCTTACTTGCCTTTTTTGGTTATCTGTAAAGACTTGTTCAAGCTGACAATTTTTTTTTTTTTAAGATTTTATTTGAGATAGAGAGCATGAGCAGGGGGCAAAGGCAGAGGGAGAAGCAAACTCCCTGCTGAGCAGGGAGCCTGATGTGAGGCTCCATCACAGGATCGTGACCTGAGCTGAAGGCAGACACACTTAACCCACTGAGCCACCCAGTCGCCCCACAAGCTGACAATTTTGACTGTAAAAACAAAAATCAAGGTAGTAGAAGATAGAAATAAGTAGGAAAAAAAATTGAAGTCAGAATTGAATATATTTCCACTCTGAAATTTACGGCTACCTGTGAATACGTAATTGACATATTCCAAGTTTTCTTAGTCCCCATTTCAATTATTCCATGTTCATTAGGATAACAAATTCATCAAATGTGGTTTCTTTCCTTGCCAGTGGGGCATAAAGTGAGAAATTACCATTCTAGGATTGCTCACCCGTCGTCACAGCAGTGAATTCATACAGTGGAGCTGTAACTGGAAACTCCTGCCCTGCTCACTGCCTACCATAGTGGTACCTCTGCAGGGCAGCCCTTAAGCAGCCGCTGCCCTAGATTTCCCGGGGACTGACCCTCAGCAGCATCTGACCGTCCATGAGAGGCCAGCATTCCTTACTCAGAAGCAGATTCCCTGAACCCAGGATTATAGAGACAAGCTGAGATAGCCTAGTCAGATCTTTCTATAATAAGGTTGAGGTGTGAATTACTTTTTTTAAATAATAATAAAAAAAAATAGTCCTTACCATTGAGGATTATAAAACGAGATCTCTCATAGGTCTCCAGTTTCCCAGTCACTGGTGATACATAAGATAATTGTGGGTGGAGATGACCATTTTTATTTTCATAGTCCTGCTTTTTAAACAGTGTACATTAGAAACCTGTCTAGCAAAATGGTAATGACACAAAGGTTTTCATTTCTCCTGTAAGTAAAAAGTGAGCCAATTTAAAGAAAATATAAATGAGCAGTCGTATAGATAATATGCAGATATAGCAAAAAAAAATTATGAGAATGATGTGCAAATCACTCAAGTTTCGGCAACACGAGAATGTGGCAATCGGAAATACGCAGATAGGGCAAACATTGCACAAGGGTGCAAGAGGGAAATTTGGAAATAGGGATATTAAAGTCTGAAACCTATTTAAGTTGTGCTTGTTACAAGCCTGAATTTTCCCCTATCAAAATCGACACCTGTCTCCTGTGTCTGATGCAGTGGGTGTCCCCCTGCCGTCCCCCGAGACCCACACGACGGCGTCCTGCCGCACCGCGCATGCTCGCGGAGCCGCGCTCCCGTGCCCTCCCAAGCGCCGCCCCTGACCTTCCAGTCTGGGAAGTGTTTTGGAAGGGAAACAAATTGGAAACATAATCCCACCTAATTTATTTATCCCACCTAATTCATTTTTTTTTATTGAAAAGTAAATTCTTCACATATGGGTACTTAAAAAAAAAAATTAACTTTGTAAGTAATTTTCGCTGAGAGTTTTCAGCGCGCTGGTGACTGATTGCCACTTGCCAGAGCCCCCATGTGTTTGAGAAATCGTGGTCTCACATTTTGGTTTCAAATACCAAACTGTAGCAGAACCCCTCGTGGGGCGATTTGTGCTTTAGGGACTATTTTCCTCTGACCTAATAATATCCCATTTTGTCTTTAACACACACAGACTGTCGGGCGGGAGCTTCTTCTCCACTTAATTGAACATCTCGTAACCAATGATGGAAAAGACTTTGAAATCACAAATTTAATCCACAGCACCCGGATACACTTCCTGCCTTCAATGAACCCAGATGGATTTGAAGCGGTCATGAAGCCTGACTGTTTTTACAGTAATGGAAGGTGAGGATGGGCTCCTCTCTTGAGAACAACAACAAGGCCCCCATCAGACAGTACCCCGGGGGCCTTATTAGTGAACCAGCTCAGCCTGGGTCATGTCACTGCCATGCTGAAAACTCTTCAGGCTGCCACTGCTTTGAGGACGAAAAGTAAAATCCCAAAGAAGGCTGCTTTACTCCCGTGCCCGCCCTACTGCTCGCGCTCGCTCACCCTGCCCCAGCCCCTCGGAGTCTCCTCCATCTCCTGAACCGACCTGGTTCTCTCTCGCCTCAGGCACTGGACAACATCTCTCTTCCCACTCCTCGCCCCTCTCGCTGCCAAACAGTGTTTCCTCAGAGACTCCCTCCATGACCTGTCCTCTATTAGGCCCCTGGTTCATACCACCTGCCACTTTACCTTCATGGCACAAATTTTAAGGTCTGATTTTTTGTTCAGTGTCTCTCTCCACACAGATCTGTAAGCTACCCTGGGGGCAGGAATCCTGTCACCCATGTTGCTCACTGTTAAATCTCCAGGGCCTAGCTGGGCTGTCAGTAATTACCAGTTAGTTTATTAAGCCAGTGCAAGAACTAACCACAAAAGAAGAGGGAGTCGGCGCTCGGGTGGCTCAGTCGGTTAAGTGTCTGACTCTTGATTTCGGCTCAGGTCATGATCTCGGGGTCGTGAGATTGAGCTCTGGGTCGGGCTCTGTGCTCAGCGGGGAGTCTGCTTCTCTCTCTCTGTCCCTCCCCCCATTTGTGCGCTCGCTCTCTAAAAAAGCTGTTAAAAAAGAAGAGGGAGTCTTGTATTTCTGATTTAAACAGTTTATTTTGTTGCAATGTGCCTCAGGAAGTTTAGAATTTCTCAAATGTCTAACATACATTTATATTTGGGCAAACATTTGTTTGTTTTTACCAAAAATAAATAAAATCTCACCATTGATTCAACTTTAGGTTTTTCTAGTGTATTTAAACATGGCCAGTCTACTTTCCAGAAGTACATTTGTATAAATAGTGTGTTCCTGTTGTTTGTTATCAGTTGCTATGTAACAAACCATCCCCAAATTTAGGGATTCATTCCCTTTTTATTTACTCTCAATTCTGTAAGTCAGGAATTTGGACAAGCCAGAGCAAGGCCGGCCAATCTCTGTACCATCCTGTCTGGAGCCTCAGCTCGGGCTGGCTGAGACCACCAGCCTGGGACATTTCTGGGGTCTCAATTCTGGCTGTCACCTGGGTTCCTCATTTCTCCGGGCGGACTCTCCACGGGGTTAGCACCGGAGTCTCAGGTTTCCCAGAGGAAGTGTTCCAAGAGCAAAAGCCCTGAAATGCAAACACTCATCAAACCCCTGCTTACAGCACAACAGCTACGATCCCCCTGGTAAGAGCCAGTCACACGGGAGGGGCTGCGGAGTGCGTGAATGCCAGGGGTGGCCCTCCGAGGCTACCCAGGTGACCATCCACCTTCCCTGTGCTCACATTTGGAAGAACACCTGAAGCCCAAACCAAAGGGATACACACTGCACGAGTCCACTTCCTCACATACCATCAGTAAACCCAAAAATATTCTTTCTTTTAAAGGGAAAATAATAACTACTATGACCTGAATAGAAATTTCCCCGATGCTTTTGAATTTAATAACGTGTCAAGGCAGCCTGAGACTGTGGCTGTCATGGAGTGGCTGAAAACAGAGACGTTTGTCCTCTCTGCAAACCTCCACGGCGGCGCCCTGGTGGCCAGTTACCCATTTGACAACAGTGTTCCAGGTGAGCAAACAGCGGCCTGGCCTGGCTTCCTGAGCCCGGAGCGGGACTGCAGAGTCGGCCTCCGGAGGGGAACAAGTCTGCCCTCTGCCCTTTGCGGCCAGGGGTGGAAGAGCCTCGTTTTCTCACCTCTGAGCCACTCTTCCTACAATTTATAGACCGCAGATGGGCACGGTGGCTGACCTGGCGACCCCCAGGATTATCTGAGATTTATCGGGAAAATAGTAGAATCGGGTTAGAATACCCCACAAGAGGCAACATGCCTGAAAGTAAATAAAACCGGAATAACTTACCTTTCTTTGCTAATCATAGGAGCAATCATTTGACTCCTCTTAAAACTCCGTGGGATGAGGACTTAAAACGAGCGCAGTGCCTTTATTTAACCCCTTCAGTATGTAAGGAAAGCTTACCCCCCTCCAGAAATGAGTGAGAGTGACTAAGAGGCTATTCACCTTGTAAGCCGATACAGGAGGAGTTGGAATATGCATCTAGTTTGTTTCGTGTGCTATCACCCTCTGTCTGCTCATTAGAAACGAGGAGAAAGGGTAGGGGGAGCCCTCGTGGAAGTGGACACGTGTCCCTCTGGGAAAGCAGGGTCTTTGCCTGTGATGCGGTGGCGTGTTTTCTAATACGGCGCCACGTGTTTCCGAGTACTTGTACTCCGACACCAACAGAAAGGTCTTGGTTTGTTTTTCACACACAGCGACGGGGATGTTACATTCCCATAGCTTAACCCCTGACGACGATGTTTTTCAACACCTTGCACATACCTACGCTTCAAGAAATCCCACCATGAAGAAAGGAGACCAGTGTAAAAACAAAATGAACTTTCCTAACGGAATCACAAATGGCTACTCCTGGTATCCACTCAAAGGTCAGTTTCTCTTCCCTTCTGGCATTCTCCTATTGCCTTCATCCAGAGGTGCCACTGTCTTTTGTTGACCCCAGCAGGTGTCCAGATTTGTTTGGCATGGTGCCATCCTTTAGTCGTGTCTGTCAGCTCATGGCCCAGAAGCACTGGGGGGTGACGGCCCGAGAGCTGCTCAGATGCTCGCTCAGCGTTTGCCCACGATGAGCCGGGAACTTTGCCAAGAAGGCTGAACAGGACACAGCCCCTACCCTCGGGCTTTATAATAGGGAAGAGCAGCACGCAAGTAAATAACTGTGGTGGCAGTGTAATTAGAATAAAAACGGGAGGTTTGGAAAAGGTAGTGTGCCCGAGAGGTAGAAAGCCAGAGTACAACAAGGAGTGGAGAAGCCCCTGGAGAAATGTAATGTTTATGTCACATCGACCAGGGACCCCTGCTAATCCAGCTACTTAGGGCCACGCGCCAGGGGGATCCAAATATCGCCAGATCGCCCAGTTTGTAAAACAGGCTGAACTTGTACGTGAGGTATCATGATTTTTAAAGCCACTTTGCAAGCTGAACAAGAACGCTTTTCCAGTTAGATACCTGGTTGGGGTGGGGGAGGGAGGGTCCGGTTTTCTGCCCTTGGACCAGGACGGCCGGGTGAGGGAACGGGTAAGGAGACTGCCACGTAGGGGTCACGGGATGGGGGGGAGGGGGCTGTTCTTGTAAAAGGAATCACGTAAGCAAGCCCAGGGGCGTAGGAGAACTCAGGCTTGTCGGGGGCCTGAGCGAGCGGGAGGGCCCTAGGGCAGAAGAGCGGCGGGGACTGGGCCTCGGTGGTGGAAGGTGCCCCCTGTGAGACTGGTTCGCCCGACCCCGCCCGCAGCGAGCTGGAGGTTGCGTTGCGGCACGCGGGCCCCTTTCCAAGTACCAGCACAAGCTGGTACTTTCCGGTCTCTGCCAGCTTCCCAGGTGCTGTAAGCAGCAGGGCCAGCTAGACACCGCAGCATCCCACACTCCTGTTGTCCCCGATACAGTTCCCGCCCCAGGCCCATGCCCGCTCTTCACTCTTCGCAGGCAGCCGAGGGCTCCCTCCTGCTCCAGGGCAGAGATGTCCCTCATGGCCATCTGTAACCTTCAAGGCAGATCCAGATGTGTGGGGAATGAGCCAGGAAGCTAATGTGGCTGTCGGGAAGCGGCGTACCCCGAGAAGAAAGGCAGGCAGAGCCCGCTACTTTGAGGAGCTTAGAGCATTCCGGCTCGGTCTGGAGGTTTTGTCCACCAGGCCCGAGTTGCATTAGCCAGAGCTGCACACCCCACGCTTAGCAGTCCCACTCCTGCGCGCTTTGTACGCCTGTTCTGCCATTTCGGTTCTTTCTGCCTGGCAGCCATCCAACCCAGGACTTCGGTTTTGTTTCTTTCTTCCTTTTCTTTCATTTCTTGGTGAAAACAAGGTCAGAGAGAAATACAAAACTTAGAAGGCAAATAAATACAAAGGACAGAGGAATTCTTCCTGCTAGAATCTAGACCTACATAGATATTACTTAATAAAATTTTTTGATATATTTTGACTACTTTCTTAGCATGAGGTTTTTTTCTAATTCAGTACTTCCCAAATACCCCGAGAGAATTGAGAATACATATTTTATTAGGCAGATATCAAGTATAACAAATTAAAATCTGGCAGAAAGTACTTCCTTCAAAGTTACCATATTTCATCAAATCCAAGATGCCACTGATTATAAAATACACTGTACCACTAAGGAAGAAACAAAAATGTTCCTGGCCAATCTAATGACAATGGTGTTTTTCAGCCATCAAGTTTAAGACCCCTCCCAATTCAGAGATTTTAAAATATGAAAAGTTTTGCATTTGAGAAAATACAAAATGGGACTATAGTCCTTTGAAAATAGGGTCTCTGGAGGTGAGAACTGGGAGGTGAGCATGGGCACTGGCGGCCTCAGAAGGGGGCGTGGGTCCCTTCTGTCCCGAGAGCCGGCCCCACCCCCACCTCTTTCATCCCCGAAGCAGCTCCGTGTCACGGGCAGGAGCACAGGGCCTTGAGCAGGACAGTCTGCGCTGGGCTCTGCACCCACGTGCATGTTACTTACCCTCTGGGATTGTCTCCTTGTCTCTTGAGACGGCGGGGGGTGGTGGGTCACTGCCATTACAGGCTCTTCAAATGGTTCCCCAGTCATAGCAAACGCTTGCTGAACGTTAGCCATTATTCTCCCAGTGAGTGTACTTAGCTTTACATTATTTATGAATGGTTTGTAAACAATTTTTTATAAGTATCGTTCCATATCTGTTTAGAATATAATTTACAGAAGAAATGTACACTGATGAATCCTTTTTGTAATGTATGATTGACAAAAAAGGACTGACCCTTCCCCTCCCCCTCGGCTGCACAGTTGAACTTGGGCCTGCTCTGATCCAGTTACCCATATGGGAGTATTTAGGACTGCCTGTTCATGCCTGGGTGATAAAACGTCAAGCCCTGAGTTTATATGCTAATATGTCAAATTCATCTTTTCCTGTTTACATGTACTTTCCTTGCAGCTGTCTGATTCACTTGTCCCCAAGGTACAGGATACTTGACTCCATTCCAATTTTAGACCTTAAAAAATTAAATATGTTTGTGTTTAGGTGGAATGCAAGATTACAACTACATCTGGGCCCAGTGTTTTGAAATTACGTTGGAGCTGTCATGCTGTAAATATCCTCATGAGGAGAAGCTTCCATTCTTCTGGAATAAAAACAAGGCCTCATTGATTGAGTATATAAAACAGGTTCACCTAGGTTTGTAAGATTTTTTTTTATTAATTCCTATTAACACAAAACATAGCATGTAACAAAACCTTTGGGTTTTCCTGGTACAGCCTCATTTTGAGTACCAGAACTAATGATTAAGAATTTTCTCTGCATGAATATCTGCAGCACGTGAGAAATGCAGTGCCCATCAGTTCATAGAAGAGAAAGCATGATGTATGTTACTTTAATATGGGGGTGGAAAATCCAGAGTACTTCGAATTTTTCATGTGGAAATCTCGTAAAAGATCCAGGAAAACAAGTTATTACTCTGTTAAATCATTCCCCATCTAGGAAATGCCCAGTTTGCTGATCACTTGTCACACAATATCCCAGATCCAGAGAACACCGGACATGCCATTTTGCCTTTTTCTTAGTACTGGGATGCTGACCTAGCACCATTAGCTTCAAACCCCTCACATCCTGCAACTCTGCCAAATGACCTACCTGGTCCTGGCCGTCTTCCCAGGCTGGTCTTCTGACAGCTGTCTAGCCTTTATCTCAGGTGGACAGACTAACCGGGCAAGAGTGATAGTTCTCAAACCTGGACAGCAGACTCTCTCAGCAGACTCAGATTGCCAGGCCCCAGCCCCGAAGTTTGATTTAGTGCATCTTGAATGGTGCATCTTCCCCAACGAGATGCTGGTGCTGCTGGTCCAGGGACCACGCTCCGAAAACCACTGTAGCAGAGAAACTCGGTGCTTGTGATGGTGACAATGGAGTCATGCGGTTTCAGCTTCTTTAGCCGGGCTGTGTCTCTGTGGGCGGGGGGTGGAAGGCTCTCTGCATTGCCAGGGTTTCAGTTCTTTCTCTCCCTTCAGAGGGCTTCAGAAGGGCTTCAGAAATTGGCACAGTAGTTAGACTGCTACGTCACGCTGAAGTAGGTGTGGGTTTGTGTCGATGAGGGTTGCATCATAGGCCTGCTGCACAACTGCACAATTCCTGCAATTACCCCAAAGCTTTCCACCTGCTAGAGCAACGCAGGGAAGAGTCCGACGCACAGGGGGTCCAGGGCTGAGTGCAAGGATAACTAAGAGCTTCCCTTGGCCCCATATATGCCCCGCCCCCCACCCCCCTCCCTGCCAACCTCCAGCACCACTCCCCAAAGCACAGGTGCACAGATTATTGGTGAATTCACAGGGCTGAGACATGTATGAAGTAGGGATGTTAAAGGAGTCTTTTTTCATCAGCATCCTAGCAGTTACTAAGATTACTGGGTCCTCTCCTAATATTCTGGTATTTTGCTACTAGATTTTCCTCATGAGGCACATAGTAATTTAGCCTTTCTATTGTATTTCCTTATTTAGTATTACTCTGCCTATTGTAAAATTTCTCCATCAGCATCAACATGGGAGTGCAGCTGAATAAGAAATATGCTCCACATAACTGCACTACTCTTTCTGGAATTTCAATCTAGCTGTAAAGGTTATTTTCCAAGCACTGAATTAAGGTGGGCTCTGAAGTGTCATGCTGGCCTAATAATGCCCGTGAAGGAGCTTTGTAAACTGTTAAGTAACATGCACATTGTAGCATGACTATTACTAATTTGGAGGGCTTACAAGTCCACAGGTTTTATAAAGAATATTCATCTGCCTATCCCTATAATCAGGGATGCACAACCTACTTAAAAATATAAATGTATAAGCACATCAACCCTGCCCCCTTGTGGTTTAAGACAGAGGCTTTTTTTTTTTTTTTTCCTAATTTAATGAAACCCAATTTCAAAACACTGATAGTGTGGTCATTGTCACTTGATAGGTTCTCTCCATTTCAGTGTGTAGGAGGAAGCCAAAAACTGTCTTTGCTTGGGGATGATGGGAGCAAACCTTCTTACTGGTTTTGCTGTGGTTTAAGGAAAGTACTGATATTTATCAAGCAGTGTTGCGTTCAGTGGCTTAGCTTCACCACTTGCTAAGATGTGTCTGAGACTTGGACCCATCTGGAAGTCTCTGGCTTACCTTCTCTGGGAAGGAAAGGCCTGGAAGGTGGTACATATCACTTCCATTTTACAGGTGATGAAACAGTCTGGGAATGTTTAGTGACCTGGGATTTACACTGAGCCTGGATGGTATCTATCTGTACTTACCTAATGTGTCAGAAGACCTCCTAAGAAGGGCATGATGGGAATATCTCTTCAAAGAATAATGCCACCGATACCCAATGAATGAATGCATAATTGGGTTATTAAGTCATGACTGATGTTTATAAAAGTTGGGTCCTACCTAAAGATCAAAAGGATACATACCAAGTAGTAGGAATAAATATAAATGAAACTTTTAGAAGAGGCAGAAGGACAAATTACCTGAAACTAGAGGTTCACAGCTGCTATCTGTTGAATATGTGAGAAGGAAATACGGCATTTAGTAATTTCTTCTCTGGGGGGGAAAATGAAGAGTCAAGAATTAGGAAAGTGAAAGGCAACTTGGGTCAAGCAGAGGTTTGCTTAATGTTCGAGACAAAGATTTTGTTGCTAAGTGTCAAAATTTTATATTTCATTTTAAACTTTTCTGAAGGAACTATAATTATGCCGCGTTATCTTTCTGCTCCAGTAAATAATTACTAAGTAAAATGTTCTAGGAATAGTTCAGGGTCATTTTTTCCTTGTGGCTTCTTCTCATGTCATTAAGATGATATGTCACTGAGTGAACACACTGGAAGGTGAAGTGTAACATTTAAAATGACCTTTTCTTAACTGTACTCCTGAAATTTTGAGGTGAGGGGTATGGTGTCAGGTTCAGTGTGGGCCCTGGAGACTAGTGTGGATTTACAGCCAGGCTCTAGGAGCTTAAGGTTATTTAATAACCCAGAGCCTTAGTTTCCTCATCTGTAAAAGTGTGACAGTATTGCCTACGTGATAGAGTTGATGTGAGGATTCAGTGAGAACATGCACGTTAAGCATTTGCCATAGAGCCTGAAATATACTAACAATAAATGTTCACTCCTGTTATTAGTAATAAGACACCATTAACCAATCCCATGATTCCAAGCAATCTTGTGATTATAATTGTTTCCCATCTAGTTTGACCATGAGACAAAACTATTGAGGCCCTTCCACAGGTAAGTATCTTATTGTAAATTAATACACTGGCTTTTTTTTTTTTTTGAGTAATCTCTACACCCAACGTGGGGCTTGAACTCATGACCCCGAGATCAAGAGTCACATGCTCCCACTGCCTGGGCCAGCCAGGCGCCCCCACCTCCCCTGCTTTTTGTAAATACACTGGCATTTTTTAGTTTAGGATTTAGTGGAATCTACCGAGGACAATGTTGTAGTAGTTTGGTGACTGAGTAAGCAACTTGGAAAAGACAGGAATGGATTTAGGTTGTCATCTGTGTTCTCTCATTTTGATACTAGGTGCCATAAATGGAACATTTGACAATAAACAAATTTAGCCTATAAATCTGATTGTTAGCTTGACTGTATTTTAAGTTACATCAAAAATAAGTTTACCAAGTTCTCGTTCAAGATGGCAATGTAGGAGGATCCTGAATTCATCCCCTCCCCCAGACACACTGAATCTATAGCTACATATGGAAACCCAAAAACTACCTAAGCCGTTCTACATATTGGGCGAATGAGAATAAACCTATATTGCAACGAGTAGGAGAGGTTGAGACACGATCCTGCCATACACCCCATCCCTGTTGTAGCAACCCACACTGAAGGAACTTACAACTCCAAACTTCTCCCTGAGCAGCAAAAGGTTTGAACCCCACATCTGGCACCCCAACTTTTAAAAGCTACCCAAGAAACAATCCCTGAAAACACCTAGCTTTGAAAGCCATGGGGCTTGCATCCACAAGACCCTCAAACTGGGAGATAGTTCTTAAAGGGTCTGCACAGGTGCACCTGGCTGCCTGCCAGGGCCCAGTGCAGAGCCAGCCAACTGAAAGATGCCCAGTTTTTCTGTGAAAACGGCCTATTTGCTGGTCTTAAAGCTTTGACCTGAGGGGCAGGCATCTAATTTAATACTCTCCAAAGATGGAGGCTGGCAGACACCATGTTTGCACTCTCCCTCCCTCCCGGTCACCAGTCTCTCCCAAAAGGGAATCTATGCATGCATCCGGTGTCCCAGTTTTGGGGGCTATCATCCAAGGGATACCGCTTAGTAGCTCTGGTAGCCAGTGGCTCCAACAGGACACTAGCAAACAGTTCTTAACTGGCTCTCATCCCAGAGCTCAGTGTAAAGGGAACAGGGAGACCCATCCATCCCCCAGTCTGTCGTCCCCTGAAAGAGATTTATTTGCATCCTTTAAAAGCCTCTGCCTAAGGGTCTGGAATACAATCAGCCTGAATCTAGGTATTGATAGGTCTTGGCACAACCTCAACTACTGGGAACTACTAAGAATCAAGTAGGCTGCTTAGACAATCAGGTTTGAGAAACAACCAAGAGCTAGGGCAGAGTTGAATGATAAGGTTCCTCTACAAAAGACCACTCCTCCGGGACTGGAAGATGTGGGTGTTTTACCTAATGTATAGAAACCAACACAGAGTCAAAGAAAATGAAGAAATAGAGCAATATATTCCAAACAAAAAAATAAGGTAAAGCCTCAAAAAAGACCTTACTGAAACAGAGATAAGAGTTCAAATAATGACCATAAACATGCTCACTGAGCTCAGGAGAACAATGCATGAACAAAATGAGAATTTCAACAAAGAGGTATTACAAGACACCACCAAATAGAAGTCACACAGCTGAAGAATATAGTAATAGAACTGAAAAATACAACAGACTGAACATCAGACTAGATGAAGCAGAAAAATCCGTGAACTTGAAAACGGCATTGGAACTATTCCAATCAGAGCAACAAAAGGAAAAGAATGAAATAGAGTGGAGATAGCTCTAGGGATTTATGGGACAACATCGGGCATACCAACATTCTCATTATAGGGGTCCCAGAAGGAGAAGAGAGAAAGGGACAGAAAACTTAATGAATAATGGCTGAAGAGTTCCCTAACCTGGGGAAGGAAAGACCTCCAGATCCAGGAGGGCCGGAGAGTACCCAATAAGATGAACTCAGAGCCACACCAAGACACATTATATTATAATCAAAGTGTCAGACAGTTGAAGACAGGGAATCTGAAAAGTGGCAAGAGAAAAACAACTTGTTACATACAAGGGAATCCCCATAATATTATCAGCAGATTTTTCAGCAGAAACTTTGCAAGCCAGAACGGAGTGGCACAGTATATTCAAAGTGCTGAAAGAAAGAACCACCAACCGATAATATCTGGCAAAGCTGTCCTTCAGAATTGAAAGAGAGAGGATTTTCTAGACAAGCAAAAATTAAGGAGTTCATCGCCACGAGACCAGCCTTACAAGGAAGGTTAAGGGAACTTCTTTAGGCTGAAATGAAAGGGTACTAATTAGTAACACAAAAACTCACTAGTAAAGGTAAATCTTTAATAAAATTCAAAAGAGTCTAATGTAAAGATAGTGGTTAATCACTTACAAAACTATTATGAAGGTTAAAAGACAAAGTAGCAAAAATAACTATAACTACAATATTTGTTAATGGATACACAAGATAACAAGATGTAAAATATGGGCAGGAGGGAGTAAACATGCAAAGGTTTAGAATGCAATCATATTATAAACTTAAAACAGACTGTTACAGTTTTATGTAAGTGTCAAGGTAACCACAAAGCAAAAACCTATACATAAAACAAGATGAAGGAATCTAAGCATACCACTATAGAAAACCAACAGATCGCAAAGAGAACAACAAAGGAATTACAAACCAACCCAAAAGCAATTATCAAAATGGCAGTAAGTACATACCTATCAGTAATTACTTTAAATGTAAATGGACTAAACTCTCCAATAAAAAGACAAGAGTGGCTGGATCAATTAAAAAAATAAAAATAAATAAACCATAAGACCCATCTATGTATGTTTCCTGCAGGAGACTCACTTCAGATACTAGGACACACACAGACTGAAAGTGAAGAGGTGGAAAAGATATTCCATGCAAATGGAAACCAAAAGAAGGCTGGGATAGCTATACTTATATCAGACAAAACAGACTTTAAGACAAAGACTAATAAGAAACAAGGTTATTATAGAATTATGAAGGAGTCAATCCAACAAAATGATCTAACATAGGAGTACTTAACTATATAAAGCAAATATTAACAGACCTAAAGGGGAAAATAGCAATATAATAACAGTAAGGGGCTTTAATATATCACTTTCACCAATGGATAGGTCATCCAGACAGAAAATGGTACTTAACATATACAGAGCATTCCATCCAACAGCAGCAGAATACACATTTTCTTCAAGTGCGCATGGAACAAATTTACAAAGCCTGGGGTGCCTGGGTGGCTCACTTGGTTAAGCGTCTGCCTTCAGCTCAGGTCATGATCCCAGGGTCCTGGGATTGAGCCCCACGTCAGACTCCCTGCTCAGCGGGAAGCCTCTTCTCCCTCTCCCTCTGCCTGCTGCTCTGCCTACTTGTGCTCATGATCTGTCAAATAAATAAATCTTATCAGCTATCTTTTCCAACCTCGGTGGAATAAAACTAGAAATCAATTACTAGAAGAAAATTGGAAAATTCACAAATATTCAGAGATGAAACAACATGCTACTGCACAACCAGTAGGTCAAAAGAGAAATCAAAATCTTGAAATGAATGAAATGAAAATACAACATACCAAAACTTATGGGATGCAACAAAAGCAGTTCTAAGAAATTCAGAGGGATAAATGCCTACAATTAAACAGAGATCTCATAGAATTGTTGAATCACTATATTGTACACCTGAATCTAATATAACGCTGTTAACTACACTGGAATTAAAATTAAAAAAAAAAAATCTCAACCTAACTTTACACCTCAATGAACTAAAAAAAGAACAAAATAAGCCCAAAGTTAGGAGAAGGAAAACAGTAATAAATGAAATAGAAACTAAAAAGACAATAGAAAAAAAAAAAAACTGAGCTGGTTATCTGAAAAGATAAACCTTTAGCTAGACTCACCAAGAAAAAAAGAGCAAGAACTCAAAATCAGAAATGAAAGAGATGTTGCAACTGATACCACAGAAATGCAAAGGATCATAAAAGACTAAACAATTATACACCAAAAAAGTGGACAACCTAGATGATAGTTAAATCCACAGAAGCATACACCTACCAAGACTGAATCATGAAAAAAAAATCTGAACAGACCTTTTACCAGTAAGGAGATTTTTGGATTGTTTTTGATTACTAATTCAAATAAAAGTCCAAGACTAGATGGCTTCACTGGTGAATTTTACCATTTAAAGAAGAATTAATACCAGTCCTCAAACTCTTCCAAAAAACAGAAAAGAACGCTCTCAAACTCACTTTACAAGGCCAGCATTACCCTGATAGCAAAACCATGACACTACAAGAAAATTACAAGCCAATATCCCTGATGAACATAGATGCAAAAATCCTCCAACAAAGTATTAGCAAATCAACTTCAACAATACATTAGGGCGCCTGGGTGGCTCAGTTGGTTAAGCGACTGCCTTCGGCTCAGGTCATGATCCTGGAGTCCCGGGATCGAGTCCCGCATCGGGCTCCCTGCTCGGCAGGGAGTCTGCTTCTCCCTCTGACCCTCCTCCCTCTCATGCTCTCTGTATCTCATTCTCTCTGTCTCAAATAAATAAATAAAATCTTTAAAAAAAAAAAAAAAACAATACATTAAAAGGACCTTCCTTGATCTAGTGGGATTTATTCCATGGATGCAAGGATGGCTTGACATCTGCAAAATCAGCGTAATATACCACATTAACAAAATGAAAGATAAAAATAATATGATCATCCCAATAGATGCAGAAAAAAACCATTTAACAAAATTTAACATCCATTTATAAAAATTAAACAAGAAAAAATCTTGAACTATGTTAACTAGATATATTGTGATCATTTCACAAATATATCAAATCATTATGTTGTACATCTGAAACTAATGCTATATGACAATTATATCTCAATTTTTTGGGAAGGTTTACCTTCCCTTAAATACTTTATTGTTACTATTATTATCATCATCCAAACAGCTTAATAAATATTGGGCATATTTTTCTTAAATAACTACAAGAATTTTTTTTCATATGTCAGAAAATGTAGTGTTAACATAAAGTGTTCTTTTTGTCTTGCAGGTATAAAGGGTCAAGTTTTTGATCAGAATGGAAATCCATTACCCAATGTAATTGTAGAAGTCCAAGACAGAAAACATATCTGCCCTTATAGAACCAACAAATTTGGAGAGTATTATCTTCTTCTCCTGCCTGGGTCCTATGTAATAAATGTAAGTATACAGCCCTCGTTTTGGTTATTAAAACATTTTAGAACTTGCAGTAGTTACCCAGAAGGAATCCGAAATAAGTGTGGAAAGTCCCAAAAGTAGATACATCAGGACAGAAGGAAAGGTCATCATCAGACTTGCATTTGGCAGGGAGTGGGAGAGGTGGGAATAATAGGAACATACCAAACAAATCATGTTTTTTCCCAACTGGCAGTGTTTTCAATAGAAGCCAAAACCTATTTCTTGCGACATGTTCTATGATAAAAGATGGAATGAACCTTATTATTAATAAGAATAATTAAACAATGTAGTCAAAGTACTTCCAAGCTTCATGGAATACCATTTCAACGCCCATTTCATGAGACATAATTTCTGCTATTAAAAAATGGACTGGGACACAAGTTCCTTAGAATTCATTATAAATAAAATTTGATCCACAAATTTTACTATATAAAGCTAGTAATAGACATATTTTGCAGCCCTTCCATAAGCAAATGATGGTGAGTTCCAATCAATGCATGTAAAGGTGCAGGTTTAATTCTATGAAGATGTTTGAGTCATTTATTCCTAGAGGGAGGCTTGGACTAGTTTGAGCCCAAACAGATGTATGTGAATGAACTAAATGAAAAAGTACCTGATTTAGTTGGCCAGATTGTGCCTCTTCCTCCTTGATAACGACTTTCTCTAACTCTCAAGATTCTTCTGCTTTGCTTAGTGGGTCTGATGCCAGTTACAAGCAGTCATTCTGTATAGAGCGACTCCTGGGAAAAGGTGGTCATCTACTCAGTAGTAAAAACTGGCTTTGCATTGTTAGATCCTAAAGGTGAAATAATGAAAGGCATGTTTTTCAGTTCATAAAACTGTAGGATTCAGAGCTTCTGTGTTCCATAGGTTATTCCCACAGAGCCCAGCAGGGGGCCCATCAACTGCTAATCTTCTTAAGAATCGCTCCTAGAACTGGAAAGACCTCAATTCACTGTGAATTTTTGCCTAAAAAGGCCCTTTATTTTCCTGTTACAGTGACATTTCCATTCCATGAAAAAATGTGTGTGTGTGTGGGGGGGTGTCTTTGTAATGAATCTAAATTATTTTTATGTAATGCCAAAAATAAGGCACACCTTTATAAAGTTATGAATTGTTCATTTCCTTTTAGACTACCGTAGTACCTGTTGGCTTTAGCCTCTAGTTCTAGGACAAGGTTGGAAGGCAAGACTTTGGAAGCTGAAATGAATGACTAAATGATTTTCCCCCATTATTTTCCTTCTCCATATATTTCTATATTATTTCTATTTCTCAGGGGCGCCTGGGTGGCTCAGTTGGTTAAGCGTCTGCCTTCAGCTAAGGTCATGATCCCGGGCTCCTGCGATTGAGCCCCCGTGTTGGGCTCCCTGATCAATGGAGACCCTACTTCTCCCTCTCCCTCCGCAACCCCCAACCCCGCACTGGTGCCACTCACGCTTGCTCGCGTTCTGTCAAATAAATAAAAATTTTTTTTTTTTAAAGATTTTATTTATTTATTTGAGAGAAAGAGAATGAGAGAGAGCACATGAGAGGGGGGAGGGTCAGAGGGAGAAGCAGACTCCC